CGTCGCGGAGCCGCTCCGCGACCGTGACCTCGGCCGCCGGCAGACCCGTGCCCTGGTTCGCGAGGAGCACGAAATAGGCCAGGCCCGTCCTGTAGGCGTGGCGCCCCGTCATGAGCGCCGCGCGCGTCGGCGTGCACATGGGCTGCGCGTAGAAGCGGTCGAGCACCAGCGACTCGGCCGCGAGCGCGTCGATGCGAGGGGAGGCGATGCGCCCCGGCCCGCCGTCGCGGTGCGCGTAGCCGACGTCGTTGCGCCCGAGGTCGTCCGCGAGGAACACGATGAGGTTCGGCGGTCGCTGCTTCGCTGCGGCGGATGCGGGCCGCGCGACGACGCGGTCCGTCGTCGTCGTTTTGTCGCGGCGCAGGCCCAAGACGAGGCCGAAGACGAGGGCGCCGACCGCGACGCTCGCCAGCGCGCGGATCGCGGAATTGGTGCTGAATGTCGATTTTGGCTGTGTTTGTTGCGACGACATGGTGTGTTTCGTAGGTGTGGAGCGCGTCTTTGTGCGCTGGACGAGGACCGTCTCGGTTGTGGCCATGCTTCTGCCACAAGGACGCTCGCTGATATCAATATGCACTGATAGTTGACGGCAACACCCGCGTCTTGCGCAAGCCTGCGGCATGGTGAGAGACGCCAGTAGCGTGCTACAGCAGCGTTGAATCACGCCGATAGCGTACTGAAACGATGCCAACCCAGTTCCAACTGCATTTCCATCCATCGCTGCGCAGCAAGATCGTCAGCGGCGCGAAGACCGCCACCACCCGGCTGCGCGGCGAGGACGACCCGAACTCGACGCTCGAGGCGCTGCGCGCGGCGCTGGCGCGCGGGCCGCAGCGCTGCGCAGCGCTGACGGACGACGGCACCTTCGCCGAGCTCGACGTGCAACGCGCGCGGTCGCTCCGTTTCGCTGACGTCGACGACGAACTCGCGCGGCTCGAGGATTGCCACACCGCCGCGGAGCTCCGCGCGCTCGTGCGCCGCTTCTATCCGGACGTCGCCGACGACGCCCTGTTCGACGTCTTCCACTTCACCGTCGCGCCGCCGCGCGGGATCCCCTGGGCGCTCGCCGGCGTCGAGTGACGGGAATGCTTCTTCGCGCGACAGCACCCTTGGTAGGCGCTCGCGGCGCTCGTCGTCGCGATCCAAGTCCTGGGCAAGCTCGGCGACGTCTTCGGCGTCGCGCTCGTCGTCGACCGGCCACTCGCGCTCCTCGCGCTCAACGCCAACGACCTGCACTGCGCGCTGACGGGACGCGTGCCGCTCGCGCCCTGGTTTTGCGTCGCCCTCGCGCGACGACTGTTGGAGGACCCCGTGTTCTACTACGTCGGCCGGCGCTACGAGGATCGCGGCGCGGCGTGGCTCCGGGGCCGCGGCGTGCCCGAGAAGGCGCTGCGCTGGTGCCGCGACGCGTCGGCCTGGGCCGTGGTCCTCGAGCCCAACGCCATCGTGTGCGCCCTCGCCGGCGCCGCGCGCATGCCCGTCGCGCGGTTCGCGGCCCTCAACGTCGGCGGGACCGTGGCGCGCCTCTCGGCGCTGCGGCTCCTCGCGGGCCACCCGAAGATGGGCGCGGTCCTGGACTTCGTCGCCGCGGCGCGCGCGCCCCTGCTCTGCGGCGCGGTCGTTGCCGCGCTGCTCCCCCACGCGGTGTCTAAGGCGCGGGGTTAGTCCTCGTCCTTCAAAGACGACTTCGACGAGGTCCGCGCGGCCGATTTCTTGCGCTTGCGCTTGGGCTTGGCGGCCGCGGCCCAGCAGACGTGGAGGTAGACGAGGACGTCGGTGAGGAACTGGTGGCGCTTCTCCGGCGCGAGGGCCATCTTGAAGGTGCGCGGCGCGAGCGAGTGGAGGAGCTTCACCCACTTGGGCATGTCGCGCCAGGTCGCCGCGAGGTCGACGCGGCGGTCGCTCGCGGCGTAGTAGACGCCGAGCTGGCCGATCGTGTGGACGACGCAGGCGAGCTCCGAGTCGTCGCCGCCGTAGCGCGTCAGGAGCCGCTTCCACATGCCCTCGCCGACCTGGGCCGCGCCGGCCGGGTCGGCCTCGAGCTTCGCCGCGAGCTTCTCGAGCGCGGCGGTCACGGGCGGCGCGACGCGCGCGACGAGCGCCGCGACGGCCGCGCGGCGCGTCCCCGCGGCCGGCGCGGCGTCCGGCGCGGCGTCCGGCGCCGGCGCGGCGTCCGGCGCGGCGCCGGCGGCGGACTTGGCGCCCGCGAGCGCGCGCTCGAGCTCCTCGACGCTCGCGGCGGTCGCGAGGTTCGGGCAGGGCCCGGACCCCGGCGCGCAGCAGGCGCAGGCCAGGAGGAACCCGAAGGGCGCGTCGGCCTTGGCGGGATCCGGCGGCGGCGGCGGCGGCGCGCCGCGCGCGCGCCGCGCCGCGCGGTCGTCGTCGCCGGCGTCGCGGCGGTAGCAGCGGACGACGGCGTCCAGCGCCATGGGCACGACGGGCGGCGCGCTCTGGGCCGCGGCGGCGGCCGCGCGGGGCTCGCGGCGCGACCGCTTGCGCG